GTGTGTTTAAGTTTTCACAGACATACGTAGCAACAGCATGGCCAAAAAGCACACACACACTTCCACACACTAAGACAGTAGCTAAATCTGGAATTCTAGGGATCCCAAAGTCACCCCAACACACATCCTCCTGAGTTTGGGTATTCTGGGACCTAGAATAAACTAGGCTTTAGTTCTTCCCTCTTCAGGGTATCAAGTTCTGCCTTCCTGCTAAGGATTAAGAGATCAGATTAGAGCTCACAGTAAGAGAATAACTTGCCAGGCAGCCCATGGGCAGTAGGCCATGGGCTTGTCTGGACAGTGGGAAAGTTCTTCCCACTTCCCCTTTGCTACAAACAGTGTAGAGACAGAAGAGAAAATCTACCCTTCAGACTCCCCCCAGAGCAGGCAGTGGGCCTGCTACAGAGCCAGTACTGAAGACCCAAAAGCCAGCAGGAAAGCAGAAGCTCCACTGAGGCCTGGGCAGAAAGCCAGACCTCCACAAAAGGTCCCAGTACAGAGGAAGGCGCCTCCATCAACTTCCACTCCAAAATGCTTGGCAGTCAAAATGTCACATTGCTGTCCTTGGACTACCCAGGGCTTAGCCAAGAGAGGGGAGGGCTTCTCTTTGGGAAGGATGCCAGTGAGCAAGCTGAGACACTGAGGAATGTCTCCAAGTAGGCACTTGATGGGAACTGATGTCTAACACGCTCTATTATCATTCTCTGCCTCTTTCTCTCTCTGCTAGCAGCAGCAGAGGTCAGGTGGAAAGCAGCCTACTCTAGAAGGCAAAATGTCATCTACTTTGACAATCCCTTGATTGTTGGATTCCTAATAGTAAACTGAGCAAATGATGCCCATAGCTTTGAACTTGACTGGGGTCACAGAGAAGGCCACCAGTAAATACAGGAAACATGCCAACTTGAGGGAAGTGCTGTTGCTATTATTTAAATAAATACAGCGAGTGCCCACGTGCATGAGAAAACATTTGAGAGAGAAGGCAACTGCCTTCCAGCACTGTGAGCTTCCTCCTCCCTTCTTAGCTTTCTGAAAAAAGAATGAACTGAAGCCTACATATGCCACCTTCTTCTTAAACTCAGGTATTTCTCTTCCATTAATGGGGTCCCATCCTTCAGCAGAAAAGATTCTAGCACCTGGTTCTAGTGAAATTTCCATCAACTCCAGACAAAATGAACGTACCATCCCCTTCCACCTGTGACCCTCTCCCCACAATATAGAGAAGTGCAATAATTTCTTGCAGTATCACAACTTCTTGTACTATGCACAAAGAATAGTGCCAGCTGCTTTTACGTAGGTTAAAGAATTTAAGACAGCCTACAATCTTGCAGTGTAGATTCTAATTATCTACATTTTTATTATTATAAACAAAGTAAACAGCTAGAGGCACATCACAAACACAGCAATGGGGAGCACTGAACCCAGGCCTGTTTGGTTTCAAAGCCACGGGCTTTCCTTTGCTGCCCATCAGGCCTATGCACACGTGCTTGCATGTTTGTACACATGTACACATGTAAGTGCATGTAAGTAAACTTAAAACGGACTCATAAAGACTTTAGTGATCAAGCATAAAACAAAATCTGCATATGGCCAAGGCATCTGACCCTGACACCACCACCTATAGGAACATCAGCTTACATTACCTTTCATTTGTTCTTTGCACTCCCAGATGTTTAGCACAGTACTATGGGTACAACTTAGACCCCACCTTGCTAAAGTTGCTTATTAGAAACCAGAGATGAAGCATTACTGTCTTTGATGCAAAAGAAGTCTTAGCCACTGGGAGAACAACCAAGGGGGCCTAACCCATATCTGGGCCAACAGGGTAGGCATCCCACCACTGAGTGAAACTAGTCCTGGGGTATTTGAGCTTCATGTTGATGCTGCTTGGCATGTATCTTACAGTCTTCCATTCGAAAGAGCAATTATGATGATGGATGGAAGGCCCTAATTTTATGAGCCAACTCAACATGGGGTACACCACTAGATTTAAATTTCCTGGTTTGCACAGGTAACATACAACTCTCACTCAGAAAACAACTGTGAAGACACCAGGTATCACAACTATGTGTACACAAACAACCCAACCAACTTGGGGGCATCTCAGGTACTTCCATGACTTCTTGTGTGCATAACCACAACTGTGGCTGCCTCATGCCCGATGGGTAGAAAGCACTTGCTAAGGTGAGTCGGGCTTGAGAGTGCACAGAAGTTCTGACATATGCATGTGCACTTGCGTGGCAGCATGTGATTGAAAAAATTATCACAGTGACAAATAAAGGAAGTAAGGGGAGAGGACGTCGTGAGAGAAGTTAAACTTAAAGACAAATTTTTTCTTTTCAGCTCTTTTCAACTAGCAATGCTAACCTCTTGTTTATCAACTGTGCTACTTAAAATTCAGTCCAGATTGAGTTTTGCCTTTTTCTTCTCTATCTTCTTGCAATGGTAGAAGGAGTACTAACTACATGGCAGGCAACCCAAAGGCCCTGGAAAGCGGAGAACTGGCTGCATGGATTTGGGCACTTGGTGACTGGGAGTGGCCTCTGACACTCTGAAGTGCCAGCACTTGTGCATCCTCACATGTTCTGCATCCTCACAACATCATCCTCACATGATTTTGGCCACATCAAGGCACCCCCAACAAGACACTTTAGAATCCAACACAGAATCTGAGTACAATTCTGAAAGCCAAACCTAGACAAGCTACAAAAAACACTGTTCCCTTTACTGAATGCCAAATATTTGCCAGGCTCAGCATTAAGCATCTGGGCATACAGTATCTCCACAGGGAGATGGTCTCTTTGTTTTTAAACTCATTTTACATATAAGGAAACTCTACTACTGGACTTCCCCTAAAGCCAAGTCCTTCAGATGTTCACATGTCCCCAAGGACTCAAGCCTGCATGACATGCAGAAACTTCTGCCCAGTCTTCCTGTCAAGTCAGAGCTGGAAGTTGTGTGTGCACAACTTCAGCACACACACAATCATTTTAGTCCCAGAGCAAAAGTGGATCTGAGGACACCGGACTGGGACAGCGATATACAGAGAAAGTCCCAAGAAGGCACAGCCCAGCCACTTCTGATGTGCAAACACTGGCCAGAAGCTGCAGGGAGAATGCATTTTCTTTCTGCACAATAATTTCTCCAAAGAAAACCCAGACAAAGTAACCTGGTCTTCTTGAGAGGGAGGAAAGCTTTGCCTCCAAGATTCACATTGAACTCTTAACCCTGCCCCTCCATGCCAGCCCCAAGGAACGACCGGATCTGGTTGTTGTTTCTTTTCTTTTTTTCCCTGTGGTCCTCTGTTAACACTACAAATTATGTTTTCAGGGACTCAAGGCCCAGATTGCAATGATGTTGTAATAAACATAACCAGGACCAAATGCCTTCCCATCATGTTAGATGATGCCATTTCCCACCAATCAGACTCCTCGGGCAGGCAGACCACTCACCAATGAGGGACCAGACAGAGGCTGCGAGGGGGAGACCTGGTCATCTGCAACTAAAAATAAGGGCGCTTCACCATTGGCCTGCCACTTTGCAACGGAGTTGGGACCCACACACCCGCTGCCACCCAGAACAACACACACAGGCAAAAACTTTCGCAGCCCAGGGGTTCATAAGGGTGGGCTAGTCTGCATTTGTTTGTTTGTTTGCTTTCTTAATTGGCTGACTTGAGAAAAAGCCAGTTCCAGGGGGAGCCCTGGCAGACACACCCTCCCACCTAGACACCTGGGTCTCCAGGACCCTTCACAGACACACAGAACTGGGGAGGGGGAATGTCGGGCAAAGGCCGAGACACTCACCTGTCCCGCCGTGTCATAGAGTCCCAGGAGGTACTGCTTGCCCCCCACAGTGACGCTGACTGCAAAGACAGAAGTGGGGGTAGGGACAGAAGCCCACAATGACCTGGGCTCTGGGGCAACTCCGGTCCCCACCCTGACCCTCCTTTTCCAACCCATAAAAGACGCATGCAGCCGCTCCCCGGGAGATGTTACCCCCTTTTCCTTGCATCCAGATCACAGTGAAGTGGCTTGAAATAGGGTGTGATGCCCCATCTTCGCTCACTCCCCTCAAGTCCCACAGCCACGTCTTGCATGATATCCCCCAAATATTTTCCCCAGGGGCTAAGGGCTTGAGGCTATAGGGCAGGTGGTGGTGGGAAGGTCAAGAAGGGCACCGGGGCAACGGGCAGTGGGGAGAGCAGGTCCGGTTGGGTGGACAGTAGGCAGAGTGGGAGCTGTGGCGAGGGGCTGTGGGAGGCTCAGCCTGGGAGCCCGGCCGGCGCCGGCGCAGGGCGCGGGGGAGGGGAGCGCAGCGCGCTCGGGGGGAGGCGGCCGGGGGCTCTGCCAAAGTTGCTCCAAAGTTCCCGGCCCGGGGAGCTGCCCCTTGGCATTCGCGGCTCACCGGCGTAGTGGTCGAAGACGGTGGGCACGTACTCCTCCGGGAAGGCGTCGTTGGCGTAGCTCATGAGCAGGCACGTCTTGCCCACCGCCCCGTCGCCCACCACCACGCACTTGAGCATCAGCGCGCCGGGCCCGTGAGCCATGCTGCGGCCGGCCGGCCTCCGGGCATGGTCCCCGCGCGCCCCCGCGCCGGCCGGGCTCAGCCCCAGCGCGCCAGGGGGGGCCGCTGCCGCCCCCCCAGCCCCATGCAGCGAAGCCCCCCGCCGGAGGGGAGGGCAGGGGGCGCCGGGTCCGGGATGCAGCCGCCGCCGCCGCCTCGGTCGCTGCCACCCGGGTCCCCGCGCCGGCCCCGTTCCCCGCGCCCGCGCGCCCGCTGTCCCCGCCGCCCGGCGCCCGCGCCCTCTCCGCGGCCCGGCCTCCCCGGGAGGCTCCGCCGGATCATAAGACCGGCCGGCCCCAGGGGAGACGGCAACTTCGCGGAGGGCGGCCGCGGGGAGGGGCCGGCGGCTGTCCCCGCCCCGGCGAGTCCCCGCGAGGGCGGCAGAGGGCGCGGAGGAGGAGAAGGAGGAGGAGGAGGAGCCGGGCGCGGAGCGGGGCGGCGCCAGGGCTCCTCGCGAAAGAGCGCGCCGCGCGGGGAAGCGTCCGCAGGCTCCGGCGGTGACGCAACCGGCGTGCGGAATTAGACCCGTGTAATTACACCCCGCCCACGGGGCTGGAGCTGTCCCCTCGGCCTCCGTGGGCTCCGGAGAACTAGAAATCGGGAAGAAATGAAGGTCGACAGGGGGTTAAAAGGGAGAAGAGCGCGCAGGCCGGTGGGGGGAGAGGTGGCAGTGTCCCTTAGCTGCAAAGCAGCGACTCCTCCGGGTGTATTGCTTCGACCCATCCCCACCCCACGCGTTTCACAGCGTGAGCTTGAATCATATTGCATGAAACTGGTGACTAAGGGAGATAAAGCGTGAGAACCCTTTATCTCCCTTGAGAAGCCTCCCAACCAGCCGGAAAGAGACCTCCGCTGTCCCTGGGCTGGGCCCAGCTACCTGTGCTCCCCCTGGAGGCAACATTCTCTGATGATGGCTGTGAAATCTGATGGTTGATGCACCCTCCTTCTCCAAGGTTGGGAGGCTACCCCTGCTCCTCTGTGGTAAATCTTGGGATCACACTAGGACCAGGTCTGGTTCTAGAGTGTACCGCCACATTGCACGTGGGGCTGGGATGTTGGGCGCTCCAAGTCTCCTCAAGCCCCATCCTGCTAACCCAAAGGAAATCATTTCCGTTTATCGATTTGCAGCAGTGCACAACGCTGTGTTGAGTGTCAGAATAGAGGTCAGTTGAACCCTTGCCCTTAGGTCAGAGGTGAGTAAACTGGTGCTTGGAGAGATGAAGTGGTGTCATTTGGGACACTGTTGGATCTTCATTTCTCCATTCCCAGGTCTCGTTCTCAAACGCTTTGTCTTATTTCCAGTCTCCCAGGAAGATTTCGAGGATTAGTGAAAGTTCCTTGTGGATTCACATTCAGATCCCTTCCTGCTTGTCTATATCTTAGGGTAGGTATTTCATTGGCTGTTATACAATTGTACAGTGACTCTGGGAGATACTTTGTATGTACAAACTGGCAGGTTAAGAAAGGCAGTGCAATGCCTTGAGGTCAGGTCTGGCCTCTTACTCTTAGTGGGGAAATATGTGGAGCATATCCCATTCCTTGTCTGCAGGACCACTTGCTCGGCAGCAATTTACTGGGACTATTAACCTGGGAGGAGTGTCTATTAGAAGTAATTGAGGGCACTGGACCAGGAAAGCTCAATTTGGCCTCAGCTCTAACACAAGTTACCACTGGTAACTTGTGTTAGAGCTGAGGCCAAATTGAGGCCAACTGTTCCTTCTCTGGGCCTTGTTTTTGTTGTCTTATAAGTGTGAGCTCATCTTGCAGGGGGCCCCTGGGTTCAGGATGCTCTGGGAGAAGCCCAGGGAATGTGAATGCGCTCTAAGTGGGAAACTGATGTTGGGTGAATCATGCAGTGGTGACTTCACTGGCGACAGTGACCTCATTCCTTTGGCCCACAGTAATTCCAGACTGCCAAGAATACTGAGGGCTCTGAGCCTGCCCCACCTGGCATGGAAGTGAGGCAGGACAAGGGTATCCAGGATGCCCCCCACATCATCCCCTGGATGCAGACCTCCACAGGAACCTCCCTTTCCCATGGGCACAGTAGATAATGCCCCACATAGTAAAAGAGAAACACACAAAACCCAGTTCTCAAATGCCAGGGATCGGGACAGGAAGCAGCTCTGTTTCTAAGCATCCCACAGGCTCTCTGCTTGCTTTTTTCCTTTTGTTTGAACTGCAAATGTTTAAACAGACACAGGTCTGTCTGTGTGAGAACAGAGAACTTTTCTATGTAACCTTCGCCTCTTCTTTTCTTTACTCTCTCCTTCCTCCTTGTCATTGATCCATTCAGCATTTCATTTAACAAGCATGTATTGAGATCTACTAGAAGCCAGGCTTTATTCTTGAGCAGGGGATGAGGAGCTGGCAAGCTAGTCCCTGGAGGGGGAGTGGAAAGGAACTGATGAGCAAACAGATAATTATTATATAATGTGATCGGCACTGTGGTAAAGAATAAAGAACAGTCTTCTGGAAGCAAAGAGGAGGCGGGATGCATAGCTCTGAGTGTACCAAAGAAAGATTTGCAGAGCAATGTCATTGCCCTTAAGGTTTAAGAGGCTAATAGGAGTAAAGGAAAAATGCCCGAGAAAGACAGAGGACCCTGTACCAAAAACCACACACAGCTTCCTAAGAATGGTGAGCCATCTCAGGTGGACAGAAAGCCAGGAACTGGTTTGTACTGGACTTAGTACCATAAAACACAGCTAGTCCATGGGCTTCTGAAATCCATGGGAAAGCAGTGCCCCACTGGTTGGGCAGTCTTCACTGTTCAGAGACGAAGGGCCAAGGCTGAGGAGGCTTTGGGGGAGAAATCTGCCCTGCACCCTACCCACAAAGGCACAGTCTGGGTTCATTACAATAAGGGTGAGATCTTATCACAGATGTGACTTTTGTTTATCCAACCCTGTGCTCACAGGGGTGCATCCACCCAGAGCAGGACATCTTTAGCTATTTTCCTAAGGATGAAGGCACTATCTACATTAGCAGCCACCCACCAGAGTGAACATGTTGCTATGGTCAGAGTCTTAAATGTCTCCTAAGGCCATATGCTAAAGGCTTGACCACTAGCCTGTCACTACTAGGTGGTGATACAATCTTGAGGTCGGTGGGGATGTGTCCTCCCAGGGGATTTGGCCCCTCCTCTCTCTTTGCTTCCTGGATAGGATGAGATGAACAGACCTCCTGACATGTGCTCCCCCACTCCCTACCATTATGTGCTGCCTCCCCATAACCCCACAGGCAACAAGGCCAAGCAGCCATGGACTCAGACCACTGAAACTGAGCCAACATAAACCTTTCTTCCTTTTAAATTGTTTACCTCAAGTATTTGGTTATAGTAACAAAGCCAACTAACACAGATATGATGAAGGGAAGTGATAAGTATTTGCAGAGAATGTGCTATATCGTGTGGGACCTGGGCACTGACCTGAGTATTCAATACTCATTATGTTGGTATAGGTTTGTGTTTATTTGTTTGTTTGTTTGTTGTTTTGTTTGGTGTTTTGGGGCAATGCTGGGAATTGAATGCAGAGCCTTGCACCTGCTAGGCAGCACTTTGCCTCTGACCTAATCATCAGCCCTGAAGGTCATCTTATTCCATCCCCAAAACAATCATGCAAGGTAAGATTTTTAGAGAACAGAATTGTTGCTTCTGCTTACTGATCTTTCTGACTTCATATTTCTTGTCATGCAGTTTAATTAGAAGGGACCATCTTACACATCCTGCTTTGGTCCTTGCTTATTAGCTCTGGATTCCTACCTGATTCAAGATGAGACAAGCAAAGTCCTTTCCTGAAAATTTTGAAAAATTTGAAAACTATGAGTTTCCTGGTTTTTACTAACCAAACAATAATTTGGGCCTGGAAGTTATTGGCCATTTGGTTTTTGGTCATGCATAAACTAGTCAATCAAAGAAAATGAAGCTAAAGTATAGAGAGAAACAAAGATGGAGAGATGCCACTCACTCACTCCCCAAAAAGAGAAAATAGGCTATTTGTAATTTCTTGATTTTAATTACTCCTGAAACCTTGTGGTACTGCTGTTCTTCAGTTAGACCCCTGAGTTAATAAATCTCTGTCATTAGTAACCAAAGGAATCCTGGCAGTAGCAGTGTGATCACTCTAGCTGAGATAAATGATATGCAAAAAGATTAAAATGCTTGCTCAAAGTGACACAGCCAAGTGGAAGAGCCAAGTTTCAAAGTTACCTATGTTACTGGCCCTGAATCAAGGCCAGCAGCTTCCTGACGCTGTTGGTTTTAACCAGTACCCTAAAGAGATGTTTTTCTATGGTCTGTTGGCCATTTCAGAACTTGGGCAGTGAAATGGTCAATTCATTAGAGAGGAACAGCTTGAAGCAATGCCCCCCCCCACCATGAGTGGCTGTGAGCGTGGCAGGCTCTGGTGGCCCAGGACAGGAGCCTCTGGCGTTTACAGGGACCTGCGCCATGCTGGGACCTGGAGCACGGGGAAACCAAGTAACCCCTCCCCCTGCCTGTTTTGTTTTGTTGAACTTCAATATACATGAAAGTATGGACAGCTATTTTGAAGAGAATGAGAGACTACAACAGCCATTAGTGACTTCCCTATTGTCTGGTTCTGAAGACCTAAATTGCCTTCCTCATTCTGTTTGGATCAGTTTTATACTGTGTTGTTTTGTATGAATTCTCAGTATGTGAAGACATGGACAACTATCTGGAAGAAAACAAGAGATAATATGATAGACAATGAAGATCTCAGGTCGTCTAGCTTTGAAATTTATAAACCTTACATTGCTTTCTTATGTCCTATTTTGTTCTGTTTTGTTGTGTTTAATTTTACCCCCTTTAAAAATAAAATAAAATAACCAAAGTTACCTATCTTCAGAGATCACACTCTGCCATGTTTTACACTGACAAGGTATCAAAAGTTTTTGAGTAGTAAAATGACAGGTTCAGGTCTATCATTTGAGAAGTTTACTTTGGGACTGGAATATGGATTTGGAGGCTAAGAGAATTAAGATAGAGAGTGGGGTTCAGCAGAATTTAGATGACAAAATCTATTGGGATGCATAACACTGTTTTTATTGCCCTGTACCACACTGTCCAACAGAGTTGTTCAATTGAGAAAAAGTCTTAGACTTCCTATGATTAGATCAACATAGTTTATCCCCTAGGCAAATATGGTGCCAACCTAAGGCCACATGGTTGTTGCCTTAGGCTTGGGCTGCCTAATCTGTCCCTAAAACCATCATGGTGACAAAGGCTTGGAATATTCTAATTGGACCTATCAGCCCTTCCCACTCAAATATGAAGGTTCACACCTACCAGAGTCTGTGATTTCTGCACTTGGGTAGCAGGTATGGGAGGGAGTCTGTGTTGGAGAGACTACCAGCAATATCTGTTACATCCTGAGTATCGCCCGCCAGTCAGTGTTCCTAGCTACAATGGACATAAAGAATTTGAGGGGAGAGGTGCATGTCAAACAGGGGAGGATGGAGGAGGATCCTTATCAAATCTATGATTTGTTCCACATGTTAGCCAGTTGCTCTGTGTATACAGAAGCCCATGCTTACTCCAAATTACTTATCCCCGGTCTGGTTCTTCTGCCTCTCTGAAACTCCTTGTTAGGAATTATCAGTAAGGAGGTAAAATAATCATTCCTCTTTTTCCCTGGTGCTGCTCTGCTCTCCCATGATGTTCCTTTCCTCCATACATGCCCTGTATCTTCAGACTGTGGCCTCTTCCCTCTCCAGTCTGTCTTGCCATTCAGAATCCTCTGGACGACTGTCTCAGTTACCTTCTCATTGCTGACACTCTAAGTTAAAGGAGGAACAGTTTATTTCTGCTTACAGTTTGTCGAGGTTTCAGTCCACAGTTAGCGGACGGACTCCAAGGCAGGGTGGAATGGCAGAGGGCGTTGCAATGAAACGGTTCATGGTGGGCAGAAGGGAGAAACGTAGTGAGACAGCAAGTGATGACACCAGCATCACACACCGTAGATCCTGCCAGCACCCCGAAAGGCCCCAGTCAGGACCTTGAGGCTTTGGAGGGCCATCTAGGCACAAGCCATAACAACTGCCTTCACTCTGTTGTGCCATTTGCTGGACTTACTTACCTTTTCCTTCCCACTAATGCTCCCTATAAACATTCTTTTCTCTTTGGGTTTAGATGTGACATACAATGCATAATATTTTGTGCCAAGACATTAATGACTTAAATATTGCAACAGTTTCTTAAAGGTCAGTTGCCCCTAACAGGATAATTAAGAAATAATTAATTGCCTATTTGGTTTTAGTTTCCAATTAGAATGTATCTACATCCATTTTCCTACTTCACGACCTCCCTGAAGCCCAGATGTGTGCCTAAGCCTCTGAGAATTTTGGCTTAAGTACCTTTGATAA